GCAGGGGTCGTTTCGTAGAAAAAGAGCTAGGGGAACTCATTAGCATAACTCATTAGCATATGCCACACCCCCTGACATCACCGGAAGTGTGTCATAAGGCCACACACCCTGATATCACCGGACGTGTGTCATGAGGCCACACACCCCGCCCCCAATGGTCCCGGCGGGAGTGCAAGGAAGCCCCGTGAAGGCCCTCCCTGGCCACAGGCAGACAGGGGTGGGGAGAGGCAGGGAGGAAGCAACTTACCCTCCCTCTTCTCCTGCCTCCTCCTGGCTGAATGAGGGCCGGAAGCGGGGCGGCCGGAAGCAGGGGGCGGGGCTTCGTCATGTGCCCCACCCCCGTACCTCACCCGGAGGAACTGCGATCCTCCGCGATCCCCCCCCCCGAAATGACCTCTGCTGACTCTGCTTAGCTTTCAAGATCTGTCAAGGTCTACCGTGCCACCTTCCCTGCCTTAGTTGTAAATAACACTTCACTAATTCATGGAATTAGAAGGGGAACCCCTTAAATGATTATTTGGTTGGCATAACAGATCTTTGCATCGTGGGAGGGGCCGTGACTCAGTGGTCAGTGATCCAGTTAAAGATCAGGGAGAAGGTGATGTAGAAGACCTCTCTCTACCTAAGACCTCGGAGAGGTCCTGCCCCACCTGAGTAGACAATACTGACTCTGATGGACCCAGGGTTCTGATTAATCCTAAGGCAGCTTCCTATGCTCACGTGCATGAAATGCACCGTGTAAGTAGAAACGGAAATATTTTGAAAATGTACATGTGTGTGGGGAAAATGTGAAATACAGGCAGGGGTCATTTCGTAGAAAAAGAGGTGCAGGAGCTCATTAGCATAACTCATTAGCATAACTTATTTGCATATGCCACAACCCCTGACATCACTGGAAGTGTGTCAGAAGGCAACACCCACCGCTCAGACTCCACTGGACTGTTGTGGATTGCTAGCTATTGGGGGGGGGACTGTGCAGATCTGCCCTCACAGAGGAGGGAGAGCTTGTACCTGAAGGCGGGCTGGGGGGGGGCTCTGCATTGTGGCCCAACTGAGGGCTGCTGGGAGCAGGGGGAGGGGCTTGTTGCATGTGCCCGCCCCCTGGGCTCCTTACTGCTGGAGCTCCGCTCATTTGCGCTCCCGCAGGAAATGACCCCTGAATGCAGGGTTGGATCCAATTAACTTTTCTGCTGGTGGATAAGGAGGGAGAAGTCCCATCTGACCAACATAAATTTTTTTTGTGCTGAGGATCCTGGGATCTGCATGTACAAAAGCCATGTGGGATGTGGCTGTAGTAAGGAAGGGAACCGAGATGGATAAGCCGGCTAGATCCAACCAGTGTCCGCGTTATCCTTATTGAATGCTTTTCAGGGAAAGGCAACCCACAGATTTCAGCAGCGATCACCCACTATACTTCAAATCATTGTTTCGCGCAACTCAGTTTTGACCAGGGCTCTTTTTGTAGAAAAAGCCCAGCAGGAACTCATTAGCATAATAGGCCACACCCCACAGCAGAAACCCATTAGCATATTGGGCCACACCCCTGACAGCACAGCTCATTAGCACATTAGGCCGCACCCCCATGTTACCAGAAGTGTGGTTATCCAGCCATACCCACCTTTTGCTTCTTATTCCGTTTACCTTGTTTGTTGTCAAAACGCAGGGCTTTTTTGTAGCAGGAACTCCTTTGCATGTTAGGCCACACACCCCTAATGTAGCCAATCCTAATGCTGTTTCTGCTGTTGGGTGTGGCCTATTATGCTAATGAGTTCCTGTTGGGTGTGGCCAACTTGGAAGACAGCCGGAACTCCGTTCCTGTGCGTTCCTGCCCAAAAATAGCCCTGGTTGACACATAAAGCTCCTGTGTTCTGCTTATCCCACTGTTGTAAGTGTGAATTTTTTGCCAGCACCTTTTCGGAACTCTCCAGATCACTTCCAGTCTGTCTTTTTGCAGGGTGAACGTGGCCATCCGGGAGAAAGGGGAAACCCCGGAGCCTCTGGCCTTCTGGGGGAAAAGGGGATGGCTGGCGGGCAGGGCCCGGACGGCCCCAAGGTAAGAGTCAGGCACACGCAGTCTCAAAACCTGGTGTGAAATTTTAATTTGGGGGGGAACATTCATCTAGTCAAAATGACTCAAGGCTGAACCAGCATGGAGAAGGACAAGACTCATTTCATATACTCTATAAAAATCATTAAGGTTGCAGCCGTATGGTGACAAATTTAACACATTTCAGTAAGTAACTGAGTCAGTCGGGAGGCAGATTTTATAATTAAGGGCTCATTAAATTAATTTAATTAAAGGGGCATTTTGTTCATATCGTTGCACTGAATTAGTCTGTTCACCAGTCTGGCGTAGTTGTTAAGTGCACGGACTCTAATCTGGGAGAACCGGGTTTGATTCCCCACTCCTCCACTTGCACCTGGCTGGATGACCTTGGGCAAGCCACAGTTCTGGCACAGCTGTTCTCGAAAAAGAGCAGTTTCTGTCAAGAGCTCTCTCAGCCCCACCTACCTCACAGGGTGTCTGTTGTGGGGAGGGGGAGGGAAAGGGGTTTGTAAGCCGCTCTGAGACACCTTTGGGTAGTGAAGGGCGGGGTATAAATCCAATATCTTCTTCTTCTTTTACCTCACAGGGTGTCTGTTGTGGGGAGGGGAAGGGAAAGGAGATCAAAAGCCGCTCTGAGACACCTTTGGGTAGTGAAGGGCGGGGTATAAATCCAATCTCTTCTTCTTAACTAGGGTTGCCAACTTCGGGTTGGGAAATGTCTGGAGATTTGGGGCTAGAACCTGGGGAAGGTGGGGGTCATATACCAGAGGGGCTCAGCGCGGCTTACATCAGAAATAAATACAACATAATTGAGTCAAAACAACATTAAAATACTTTAAAACAGTCAGAAAAACTACACTAACTCCAAGATGACGGCAATTTCCACCAACCCGCTAGGCAGAAGGGATATGCAGGAATAGAAGGGGAGGTTGGAGTATGAGAATGCCGGACCGTCGCCATCCTCAACCAAACGCCAAATGCGTACCTCAGAATGCAAATTCATTCTGCTGGCCATGTACTGCAGCCTATGAGGAGCTTATGTTAAGCGTACTTCGGAACACAAACAAGGCCTTTGGTGAGGCCTATTCCGAAAACAAATCGTGAGAATTCAGGGGGTCTTCAGCAGAAGAAGATAACAAAACACAAATTGGTCCTATTAAAAGATGTGCTTCAGTCAGAAGCTCTCTTAATTTCTTTTTTATAACTGAAAAAGCAACAATTTCCCCCTTTTTTTTCTATGTCAGGGCAATCCAGGACCCACCGGAACTCCGGGAGATCAAGGGCCACCAGGTCTTCAAGGTATGCCTGGAGAAAGGGGCATTGCTGGCACCCCTGGTCCCAAAGGAGACAGGGTACGTCTCTTCAGTGATTTCTGCTTCAAGTTATTATGAAAAGATGTCTTTCTCTCAATGACCATCTCTCTGTTTACCAGCAACTTGAGCTTTTATTATACTTTCTCTAGGGCAGTATGGGAGAAAAGGGATCTGAAGGTACAGCTGGTAACGACGGTGCAAGAGTGAGTCAATTTATCATTTCCTTTATTAAAACTTTCCCCCTGATATTCTTGACAATCCTGTTTGTGGTTACAGAAACACTTGAGAAAGAATAGTCATCAGAAATGAAAGCTATGTGTTTGTATATGGCATCATGGCACTGAACAGCTCTTATGAAATTGGAGTCAAGTTGTGGGACCAATTCAAGGAGAACACTTCTGGCCTCTTACAGTAGGGGTTTTGTTATCTAGACCAGGGAATTCCAACTTGTGGTGACTTTTGGAATGTTGAGAACCAGTGATTCACACTATCACAAAATGGCTGCCATGGGAGTGGTGCATCTGGTCACAAAATGGCAGCTAGGGCCAATCTTATTATGTTGGGCAGTCTCAAGACCCATGTTCACCTATAGTGCAGGTAGTTTCCAAATGGTTACTCCCTGAAGACATAAACATGGAGGAAAGTTAGAACTGGCTCTTTACTTCAGAGCAGGGGTCCCCAACTTTTTTTGAGCTTGTGGGCACATTTGGAATTTTCAGAGAGGGTGGTGAACACCACCCCAAAATGGCTGCCGGAGGAAGTAGAGCCAATCCCCGGAGGGCTGCCAATTGAATATTTCCTTCCTCACACATAAATATATCTTTGTGCGTGGTACCCTGAAAGGTTTACTTTTCTTACTGATACTTCTTGTTATTAAATAGGGTCTCCCAGGTCCGTTGGGTCCAGTTGGCCCTGCAGGCCCTGCTGGTGAAAAGGTAAAAACGTTTTCATAATATTGCCATTAAATAACTTCTGATACATTCTGGACTGGATACAATAACATTCTGTAACCTTTGTTTTGAAGGGTGAACCGGGTCCTCGGGGTTTAGTCGGTCCTGCAGGTTCTCGTGGAAATCCTGTAAGTAAATCACCTCATTAATGTTCTAAATATAACATCACTTCCCCCCCCCAGCATGTGAGGGAATTCATTTTCCACTGCACCCACTTTCCTCTCATCCCCTCACCATCTATTTTACCTTACCTACCTTGATTCAAAAGATAAAGTGTACTGTCAAGTCACAACCGACTCACAGCGACCTCACAAAGTTCCACCTCATGGGGTTTTCAACAGGCCTGTAGCCAGGATTTTGTGGCTTGTGGGGCAATTTTTTTTCTGGTGGGGCTGAAGTTCTCAGTGCAGAAAGAAAAGCCATTTAGCCAATAGAAAGTTGTTACCAGGATAGATCTCTAAATTGCAAGCTGTCAATCGCTTGAGATGACAGTTCCCAGCTGTTGCAAGTTAATCTCTTCTGCCAGCCTAAGCAACAATTCTGGTAGTAAGCCGGCAGGTGGGGGTGATGACTTCTATAGTCAAGAAAGCTAACACTTAGGCAGAAAAAAAACTCTCTTAAAGGAGATCAGTTTCTTTGCACAGAGTTAGAAGGGATCCTAGAGGTCACCAACTCCAACCCCCTTGCTCAGTGTGGGAATTAGTCAATTACATTCTGCTTAAAGGAGGTCTCGCCTTTAAAAAATGTTTTAAAATGATTGAAAAAAAGCATTTACAGGAGAAATTCTTGTGGGGCTGTCCCTTTAAGAAAGACGGCAGAGCCCCCCAAAGCCACACTGTAGCTGTGGAGCTGGTTTTCAAGGCAAGAGTTAAGCAGACATTGCCTTCCTCTGCATAACAACCCAGGTCTTTCTTGGTAGTCTCCCATCCAAGTACTATACCTTGTTTAGCTTTTAGCCCATGCTAGCCTGCCAAGATCACGCTAGTATGAGATATTAGGGTTACTACTTTGTTCCTACGTACTGTAAAACATGGATGAATGAGACCTGGTACCCAAAAGCTGGAACTTAGGTTATATTGAAATGCTGCCAAACAACTGTGGGTCATTGCTACAGACCACTTTTTTGTTTCATGCCACTGTGAAGGCTGTCCCTTATAGGATTACTCCCACATCTAACGTATCACATGGCAAAAAACATTCTATACAACTGCTAAGGAAGATGCATATACTGCCAAGGTCTTCTTGGATCTTTGGTGTGTATGCATAATATTTCTTTGATAAAAAAGCAACATGTGATGACCAAGTGTTCCCTCTAAGCTAAGTTAGTGTGAGCTAGCTCGCAGTTTTTTAGCGTCCAGCTCACAGATTTTTGTCTTCGCTCAGGAAGGATGGCTCCAGAGCAAACTACTTTATGCAGAAGCCAAATTGCTCGCTCACAACTTTAATGCCAGTAGCTCACAAAGCAGAAATTTTGCTCACAAGACTCCACATCTTAGAGGGAACATTGGTGATGATAACACTTCCCATGTGATAGCTTTGTGATACGTCTAAACACAGGAACGAATTACACTCCCATGTTACGAAAATGTAATATGGAGGAAGTACATCTAGGATTCGGCAAAGCTTGTTGGTTGGATTTCATGATAGTTTCCTGAGATTTATGATAGAACTACAGATCAATGTATAAACAATATACAAGTTGTCTTTTTCATGTACCTCTGTGGTTATATTGCTCTGTCTCCTTCTCTCTCTTGCATAAAAATTATCAGATCATCTATATATCTAATAGTGAACTGGCCCCCTCTGTGCGAATCCTTAAATCCGGACATTGGGGGCACTTGGTGGGGGAGGGAGAGGTTTGTGCACACGTGGAGCAGTCCCCACGTGTGCACAAAAATCCTAAATCCTGAAAAAAAATCGGGGGGGATGTTTAAATCCCCCCGAAAGTGCCAGAGTGTTCCATGCGCATGCGCACGGAACGCTCTGCGACCGAGGCTGCCGCCGCCGCCGCTTGGAAGGGAAGCGGCGAGCGGTGAGCGGCGAGCCGGGAGGGGGGGCCAGAGCGGCGAGGGCAGGCGGCCGGGCAAGCGGGCGGCTGGGGAAAAGCGAGGCCCGGGTGGCTGCGGCCTCCTGGGCCTCGGTTCGGACGG